ATTACATAAACTAGGCTAATAAGGTAATGCTTACCTTAAAGTTCTTTACTAAAGACTAAAAAGTATAAAAAGCTTAGCTACAATAATTCTAGCTTAATTTTTAATTTAAATATTAAGATTTATTATTAACACCTTTTTAAAGTAAAGTGTAAGAGTAAAGAAGATAATAGGCTACTTATTATATAATAGTATAGATTATTTTTAAAGTCTAAAATTATTTAATTAAAGCTATAACTAAGCAAATTCTTAGTAATTAGGCTTTAGTAAAGAATTTAGATAAGTAGGTAAAGTATATAAAAGAGCTAGCAACAAAGAGGGTTAAAGATGTGTTAAAATAGTAGTAGAATAACATATAATAATCTTAGTAGCCTTTTTTTACTTATTTTACACTTAAGATCTACTCTATACTACCTATAAGTAATAAACTAGAACGTATTTTCTTTAGAGCATATTATATAATCTTTTAAACTTAAGCATTATTAAACTTTAGTATTATTAAAGTAATTAAATCTTTAAATTACTAGTTAAGTTAAAAATAAATAGACTATTTAAAAAAATAAAAATCTTTATTTTTTATTTTATTTTTTACTTATAAAAAGACTACTAATTTTAAGTAATTTATTATATAATGTTCTAGCGCCTATTTTTATTATTACTCTCTAGCTCCTTAATCTTATATAGGTAATCTATAATAATGTTATTTACAGTAGAAGATAAAGTTACTAGAGGACCTATACTATTATTAGGTGTTAGATAATACTAATTAGGTTAAGAGCTATTATAGTAACTGCAACAGGCAGCTTAATCTTTAAATTTGTAATTAGCGCAAGCAGCTACCTACTTAGACAAAAGTAAAACATACTCTAAAAATAAACTATAGTAAAATGTAAAGCTATGTAGAGCACCAGAGACATGAGGAACTGCATTGTATGTATTGCTAGAGGAGTCCTTTGCAGGAGTCTATATATATGCGAAATAAGTGGGTGAGTCGTGGCAACAGACTGTGCTGAGATGCATACGACTATGGTGCCGACGCATGATCATTGTGTGACGACACATCCGACTATTGTGCGACTATGGTGACGACGCATCCGAGTGTTACCACTGCAAACATAAAAATAGCTAGCACACTTTACTATATAAGTTAGTTATTATATAACATGTAAAATAAAAGGCATATAGTAAAGTTCTATATTAATAGTACTATAAGTCTAAATTAACACTATATTAATGTATAATAGGTAGTAAGTATTTAATTAGAAGGCATAAAAAGTGCTACTATAGTATTTAACACTATTATAAGGTGTAGAGAGAACCTGTTTCTGCTAGATCTAAAATTGTTAGCTTATTATATAATAGAAGAAGTAACTTACAGTATGCACTATAACTCCTAGAGCTGCTTGTACATTTAGGTTAGAGGTAGCAGAAAAAACCTAGATGCATCTTTTATAGCTATTAGCGCTATGCTGCTTTTAGCTATTTTTATTGTTCTTCTTAGCGTTTTAAATTATAATGTCTATGTTTTTATATAATAAGATAAAAAGAAGATACTTTTTATAATGCTTATTATATAAAGTAGGGCTTAATATACATTTCTTTTTCTATTATTTAGATTTTAAGCACTGCTTCTATTATAAATAGAATTTTATTATCTTAAGCTAAATTTTTATTAAATGTTTGTTGTATAACTTATTAAGAGTATAATAGTATAAAAAATTAAGTAAAAGACTAATTGTTTAGAATAGTTGCCTATTTAGCCTTAGTGCTGGATTGATTCATGGATCCGATCCAGATCCAGGATAGCGCCACGTGATTCCGGATAATCGATTCGGACCGATTCCTTATCTCACGAGCCATACCCTCTGGAGGGTCCATCGAGCGTCGGCAATAGGTAGTACCGATTGCCGAGGAGGCTTTGCGCTGCTGCGCCACGCTCGACAAACCACTCTAGAGGGTCTGAGAGAAAATGGTACAAGCTTTAGTGTGTCTTAGCCGCAGTTATTAGGCAAAATTTCTCTACTTTACTAACATACTTCTCTATCACAACATACCTCTAACAGCTTGCTATTTAAATAGAAGCTTGTCTAGAGCTTAAACTATTATATGTATTTACACTTTTACTTAAACCTCCCTCTATACGCTGCCTAGAGAGATCTAATTAAAAGCTTATGTAATTACAGCTAATTACCCTTCTTTATGCAACTTAACTACTAGAGCAGCTAGAGGCAGGTAATAAGCTAGAGCTAGTTGTACACAAGCAGGCTAATTAGCTCTAGCTCTTAGCTTGTCTCTAGCTGCTCTAGTGGTTGAGTCGCATAGAGGAGGGCAATACAGTACAAAGCAACTTAGAACTAGCTTTAGCAGTATACTTTACCCCTAAGTTATAAATTTAGCTCTTTTAAAATGTAGCTACTATATAGCTTAGTTACTTAAGTTTTAATTGCATTTAATAAATACCTATTTTATTATGTTGTAGGTAAGAAAACACTAAAAAAGGCTAAATGCTAAACAGAGATACATACAAATTTACTCCATTTCTCCTTAGACGCTCCGCAGACAGTTCTAAAAACGTGACCTTACTAGCCACAGCGTTGTGGTTGGTCCGGTCAAACCTCAGAGGAGCGTCTGACTCGTGAGATAACCGATTCCCGCCAGCACTGATTCTGAGCGCGAAGCTCTCCCACCCTGAGGTTAGCAAACGACATAACTAACAGTGGAGTACAGTTATTACAGTGTCTAATTACTGTGCATCTTTCCATTAATACATCCGCGCCCCTGGGGCCCGCCATGGCTTTAGTATAGGCTCAACCTCCTTGACCTGCGCGTTACTCATTCGCTCACCCTTTGGCTTTAAAGGGCCAGCTTCACTTACTGGAGGCCGCGCTTCGCTCCTCTGCACAACATTAACCCTTAGCTCTGAAGGACCAGCTTCGCCTTCCTCTATTTCACTTATCCGTGCTATCTTAGCCTTGGGCTCTGGGGTATCCTTTATTGCACTCTTTCGCGGTCGACCACGTTTCTTCCCTATAGGAGCTTCCCTGGCCTCCTTAGCAGCTTTCTTTGCCTCTTTCTCTGCCTTCTTTCTTCGCGCCTCCTCAAGGTCCTCCCATGTTATCACTCTTGCCTTCCCTAGTACTAATGACTTCGCCGCTTGGCGAGTTTTGCTTTTGTCGTTTATTTCCGTCAGGAATCTATTCTGATCCTATAGAAGAGCATTCTTTGCAAGAAATGTCTGGGCGGCATGGCATAGCTTCTTTTGGAGCCGCTCTGACGCTGACTGCTGGCTTTATTATTATTAGGAAGATGTTCTATTATCGTAAGCAAGAAGGTTAAATCGTCTCCTGACTTTGGCGTTGAAGGTGTTGGCAATGCCTTGTATTGAATCTCCTCCGTCGTCTCGTTGCTTACTGAAATAGCCGGCTTGACTGGAGATAGTTTTGGTATATTAGTGAGAACACGATTTGGGTTAAATGGGAATAAACCGCTTCCCCTCCATCCTGCTAGGATATTCCTCTTAGTAAGAGCTTTCTCCCTTGCAGGACTGTATAGATAAGTAAAATGTTGCTTACCAATAGTGTTTACCCCTCCTCGTTCCATCCGCTCAACCTGTTCGCGGTAGAAACTCTTTAGCGGTCCAAATACAGCAACGTCACAAGGTTGGAACTCGTGAGATGTATGAGAGGGCATGCGGCAGAGAGTAATGTTGTTCTCAAAACGGAACTCAAGAATTTCAAGGGTCTCATGTGTGCCAAAGCAGTTGAATCCCATGATCACGTGTTATTGAGTTGACTGCCTGGTAGGCAGTCAGTGGCGGCAGGCAGATATAGGAGCTACTACAACTATAAAGTAGTCGTATATCTCCTCATGGATAGCATTATCACACTTGTATCCTTTGTTCAGAGTTCTAACTAAAGCCGTCCCATATAAGGATACGTGGCTTCCCACGAGCCCGTTCTCGAGTTTGGGGATCAAAGACAAGCTTAATCCACTGTAAGCTAATATAGGAATCGGAAAACCCTGTTCCAGAGAATGCATACACCCAGCCAAGAGTAGGAAATGTGGTCCAGTTGGCGCGATGGGTGGAAGCGGGCCAGATAATCATCGGATTAAGACCCCTACCGTCAGCGGAGATAGATTCTATAGCAGTGACCATGGTCCGCTTGACACGCGCGCCTCTGCCGCCTCGTCGGCCGCATCGTATGCCATCCTTACCAGCAAGGACTTTAACAAAGTTAGGCATACTCAGCATAACTCCAGTCTCATCCATATTATAGACATTCTCGGGTAGAATATCCGGTTTCTGCAGCTCCTTTTCCATCACGTCGAACTAGTGTAAGGACTTGTCATAGATATTCAACCGGTTCCAGTCTTGCGGCTTCCTCGTCCTAGCTATAAGCTCTGGGCGGCGTCTCTCAAGTCTCTTAGCCCAGTTTACACCAGGAGGCTTAAGCGGTCGATCAGCTTCGGGCCGATAGCGTGTAGCACTAAACGCTATTGCTGGTATATACTTTATTCGTATAGGTTGTCCAAGAATGTCCATATGTAACACAAAGTCATCAACAGCATTCTCTTCGCACGGTGTAAGGTAATGTTGGCTTTAGGCTTTCTCGCCACCTCTGCGCCACCACTAATCCTTTGACCGGTCGTTTAACGTCATGATTATCATGCAATTTCCTTCGGCATTTTCTGAATGCCCGCTTCTATTGGCGGTATGTTAGCTACGAGGCTGAGTGTGGCGTTCGACCCTCATCGGACATCACCTAAGCCGCAGAAACTCTTCTCCCCGATCGAGAGATTATAAGGGCCCAATCAAGACCATACAAGCATGGAAAGACATAGGCATTCAGGACATCTAATTGTAGGCTTTGCCCGTGGGGATTGAATCTAGAATCTTCCATGGTTTGTGTTAACGCGGGAGACCCTGACTCAAATGTCGGCGGTATTGGGGTTGGTTCACCTGTGTTTCTCACAAACCTGATGTATGTTGCTTCGTTAATTTTGACCGACGATAGGAAAGCTGTAAATACTTGAAATTCAAACTTTAGCGAGGTGGTTGAAGAGTGGCGCGATCGAGTCGCGAGACCTCAGCCGCAGCCAAACTTTCAGCTCAGCCTTGCTGCAAAATGCTTGTATAAAGCACGGGTAGAAGAGAGGAGTTTTGCGAAAAGCCTGGATGAGACACCTGCCATTGAATAATCCCAAATCATGGTTTGCGTGAGTGCTGGTGATCCGGACCCGGATATCGGAGGCCCAGGGGTGAGTTCGTGCCCTTTACTACTACCTCCATCAATCTTGACCCGAAGAACGACAAACTCGGCTAATTTCTCTAGATCCTTACTGCATTCATTGCGCAGAGTTCGATTTCGCTCATCATTGCCGCTTGTCTCATCTTGTTCGCAAAGGAGAAGCAACGCCGGAAGAGATGGGTTCAGACAGCGCTCACTAGCCCCAGTGATACGCTCACAGTTACTGGTTAGGATAGACCCTCCCTGTAACGACAAGAGCTTAGCTGAAACACACCAAGGAATTGCCGTCTGCGTTGGAGGGTTTGCAACCCATAATAGCATCAGTCTCTATCATCTGAGAATGCTCTTCGACCTGATTGGTCTTACCACGTAATATATCCCCACACGGCCAAACAACCTTCGGACAACTGAGGCTTCACAGGATGGCAAACGTAGCAGCGATATACTGCGTTCTGAAATACACGAAAGAGTACAGGAAATTTCGTGTCTTTGCCGCATTAATATGTCAGGCTATGGCGATTGCTATTGCCGTGATCTTATGCGTCTCCGTTCGCTCGTGGAACGACAACCAGGTCGGGAAGTGTTACCACTGGTTTGTCACTGACTCGAAATGGGATGTATCCCAGACCACCACAAATCTCTGGAAGGTGAATTACTCCCCCATCAATCGCGATGTCACATTTGTTGCAGCGATGGCTTTTATGGGAGGCTCTGCCTTGCCTTCGCTGTCTTCGCAGGTTTATCGAGCCAAAACTACCACCCCTCCCAAAGAAGAGTTGGCGAAAAGTGGCACTATTTCTGTTGGCGGATTCTCAAGTCGCGAGAACTGTGGGCGCTGTTAATGGTGGTATGCATGTACGCGTACCACGTGGCGTTTTTGTTGAAAATCCGATCGGTCAACCAGTTCGATCTGATTGGAGGTAAAGAGACGGAAATTCGAACTTTGGGTCAGATCATTGCCATTGTAATGCTACTTTTAGTAATTATTCAGATGGGCATGGGATTCCTTAGTATGTGGACCCTCTTATTTTACTTGGCTTTCTACTAACAAGGTTATATTAGATAGCTCGAGGGATGAAACTTGCGAGTATTGCGGGTAGAGGAGACAACCTCCAGCAAGAGAAGCCCGTATTTGAGCAAGCGTAACATTGTCTATAAGCCGAAATCGGCCTTTGGGAGACTAGCGCTAGGCGGATATACACGGCAGCTTGTATTTTCGGAGTCCGCAGGCCACGTGGGGATTTACGCTTGGAGCATTGGCATGAAATAGCAAACCACGACTCTCTTTGACGTTTAAGTTTTCCAATAGGTTACCTATCACTGTGTTCCACATCGTGCCATTCAAATATATAGGATCTCGTAATATGGACTTAGCAGTAGAACGATGCTGTGAAATTTTAATGGATTAAATTCAAGTCTTTATCATACTTTCAGCGTATTTGAGCGTGCAAGAGAGATCGTAGGAAGAACTTCAACTACTGCGAACCGGGCGTGTGCACCGCCACAAGCTTACTAGCCACATCAGCCTGTCAGCTTATATTACATTGTAATTATCCAGAGGGCACTTCAGGATGACCAGGGTCAAGTCGCTTAAATGAGCAGGTACAGGGCCCTCTCATGAGCGGGTTGTTAGCGTCAGCACAGCCATGATCCGTGCATCGAAGCGACACGAAGCTTCTGGATAAATTACATCGGTTTATATAAGGCAGCCCATACAACTAAGATGTAATTTTTCCGCTACAGTCGTCTACCAAAATGCCGAAAACACCTGACCGTCGACTTACCTACAAAGAACGCATCAAAATTCATACACTAGCTGAGCTGGGATGGAAGCAGACAGCTATCGCCTGTGAGCTTGGTATACGCCAGAGTACTATCTCTCATTGCCTTCGCACGCCATGTACCCCTACGAAACAGGAGGGCAGAAACCCCATACCGTGTTTCATCGCTTAACGCACGGCCCCTCGTAACGCACACACAACCAAAATTCATCAACTTTTCAATCAAGCTTATCTCCACCAATATGGACCCAATTGAGGCCGCGCTGGCGTCATTTGAATCGCTGAAGCTTAGAGAAAAACCTAATTATAGTGCGACAGCGAAAAAATTTAGTTGTTGTCGCTCTACACTATTAAAGCGCCACTGCGGGGTGCAGGGCACCTATGCAGAGAAGTACAAAAATTAACAACTTCTTAACAACATATAAGAAAAGAAACTCTCTAAATACTTTAATAAGCTTTATGTAAAAGAACTGCTGCCTATAAGGCTTATAATACGCAATTTTGCCTTAAAAATAGCTAGGAAATAGGCTAGTAAAAACTAAGTTAATTACTTTATTAAGCAGCAGAACATTAAGCTTATATCTTAATAGACATCTAGCATAGATTCTAATTGTAAAAGAGCTAACTTAGCCTTTAAATATAAGCTCTATTTTAAGCTGTTACAGAAAAAAATTAATAATTATAGCATAAAGTTACGCTATATTTATAATATAAATAAAAAGGGCTTTTTAATTAGTGTACTATTAAAAGTTAAAAGAATCTTCTCTAAACAGCAATATAAAAAAAGTAGCATTAAGTAGATAATCTAGAACAGCAATTATAAGTAGATTATAACTATAGCTTACATATACACTAATAGGACTTCTCTTACACTAGCACTAATTTATTAGGCTGCTTTAGGCAACATATAAGACACCTAGTTATAAAACTTTAACTTTAATAAATATAAGGCCTTTTTTTTCTTATCTTCTAGTAGGTAGATAAGCAATATGCTAGGCCTTACATAGCTTAAACAGGTGTTTAATAAGGAGATAAAACAGAAGGCCTAACACTCCTATTAACTATTAGTTCTAAATAGCTATAGATTGCATGTTACTATAGATTTTATTAAGTATTATAACAATAATAGAATCCTTTTAGCTATCTATCTACCTTATTTAACCTATACCCTGCAGCCTTTAGATGTCTGCATGTTTAAGCCTCTGTTAACTGCCTACTTAGCTAAGCTAGCAGATTTTATGTACAAGTGCTAAGGACTATTAACTATTATAAAAAGAGACTTTTTTTGCATGTTTAACAAAGCCTAGCTAATGTTATTTAAACTAAATACTATCTTTAAAGTATTTAAAATATGCAGTTTATCTCTATTTAATTTAGAAGTAATCCTAGTATAATTTAACATTAAGAAGAAGAACTAGCTATTCTCTAGTAATAGTACTACTTTAGTACTAAGCGCTTCTAATTAGAGGAAGATTAAAAGAATTTTACACTAGGTTATTAATAATATTTATAGTAAGCAGTTACACTAGCTTAGTTAAACTATTTATATAATTTTATGTTATAACAACCTGCTCTAGCATAAGGTTAAACATCTTAAACAAGCTCTTCTTAATAAAAAGTGTTACTGCTAGTGTAGGAAGCCTCTCCTGCTTAAAGCTTTACTTAAGTATAATAGTAAAGCAGTCTTTTAGTTACTAACTAAAGTACATAAAGCACATAATCTTTAAGCTTAAAAAGATGCTAATAAAAAAGCTCTATAACTTAAAAAAAATAAAAAAATAAAGCTTAAAAAGGCAAAAAAAGCAAAAAAAGCGCATATACTAAAAAAAAGAAAGTGTATAAGAGTAGTAGTAAAAGAAATCTAACTCTAAAAGCAGCGTGTTAAGGCAGCTTAAAAAAAGAAAGTAAAGTTTACTTAAAAAGCTACTACACAACTTAAAAAGAACATCTAATTAGCTAATAAAAGTAAAAAAAAGGCCTCTACACTAATTACTAGCAATAAGAATAAGAAGGAGGATTATATTAAGGATAAATTAGTTATAGAGGTTGCTACGCCTACTCTAGCCTAAAGTTAACATAGCAGGCAGATTAACCTTCCTAGAAGGTTTTTTATATAATAGATTAATTAATTAGTAAGCTTTTCTTATAACTCTAGAAAACTGCTTTATTTTATAAGCCCTATAGAGCTGTACAGCTTTAAAAGTTGATGGGGGTAACATCTCAAAACCGTGCGTTACGAGGGGCCGTGCGTTAGGCGATGAAACACGGTACTAGATACACCACTTCGACACCTCCTTGTTCGCCATGCTACTCAGAACGCTGAACAACAGCAGAAAACTCAAGAAGAGATAGCCCAAGAGTTAGGGATTAACGTCTGCCGTCGAACACTGATCAAAGCTTTTGAGAAGGAGCTATACCACCGTAGGAAGGCGACGCGGAAGCCTCTCCTTACTATGGAGCACAAGGCTGCAAGGCTGCAGTGGGCATGGGAGCACCTTGGCTGGTCTAAGGCTATGTGGGATAGAGTAGCTTGGGCTGATGAGATGTCAGCTAGAGTAGGCCCAGGAGAGATCTGGGTTACTCGTAGAGCTGAGGAGCGCTTCCTACCTAACTGCTGCATTCCTAAGTTTAAGAAATATAGTAGCTGTATGGTGTGGAGCATTATCTCAACTAATACCAAAGGACCTCTAGTGTTCTTTGAGGACAGCTAGTGTACAAATGCTAAGGGCACTGTTGACTCGGGGGTCTATATTCGACATATCCTGCCTCTAATTACAGCCTACCAGCAAGCCTACAAAACTCAGACTAGCAGGGAGCTTATCTTTATGGAAGACAACAGCTCTATACACAAATCAAAGGCTACTACAGAGGCCTATAAAGCTCAAGGAGTTTGTAAGAACTAGTGGCCTGCTAACTTGCCAGACCTTAATCCAATTAAGAACGTTTAGCAGATGCTGAAGTACAGGCTAGGGAAGCATTTTCCAAAGACTAATGACGATGTACGGCGGTTTCTAAAGGAGGAGTGGGAGAAGATTGAAATTGACGACTATAAGAAGTATATTCGATCTATGCGAGAGCGCTGCTGGGCAGTTATCCAGGCAGGTGGAGGGCATACTAAGTGGTAGATGACTATTCAATGACTTTTTGTATATAATCTCCATAGAAAATTACATTTCTTAGTCAGAAGCCCGGTGGGGCCATGGTCCGGGTGACGCTAACAACCCGCTCATGAGAAGGCCCTGTATCATTCAGCGTGGCGACGTTGCATGAATCATCCGATTCGATCCGCTATAGGGCTAATGACGACCTATCAGCGTACTAGTCGGGGTTCATGTTGTTGATACAGGATTATTATGACTTTAGGAGTGATAAAAACCTAGTGCTAGAGTCATAATAGAAGAGCCATGCTGCGCCGAAAACTAAGACCTCTACTTCTAAGGCCCCGGAGGCGACAGCAAGATCGGTAATTTTGCTAAAGGCGGTGCTGGGTAGGTAGAGGAAGACTCTTTACATCTATAACGAACAGTGCAGTATATATATCTTGACGTAGATAGAGTTATACTACTTTAAAGTGTGAGTACCTATAGTTTTTCTCGCTACGGAGTACTTCTCGCTACGTGCCGAGGGATGTTACTGATTGGCGTGGCGACATTGCATGAATCATCCTCCTTCAGCCAGCGTCGGGCTGATAATGACCTATCAGCGTAATGCTAAGTCTGAGAGGGTTGGATCAGACTTGTCAACAAGCAAGTCAAGCAAGCAAGCCTCTCAGGCTTGCTTGCTTGCCTGCCGAATTGTTAGTCGAAGCTTGACTTGCTTGCTTGATAGCATCTAATCTTAAGACTTGCTTGATTGCTTGCTTGATTGCTTGATAGAGCTGACTAATGAGCGCTTGCCTCATGCCATAAAGAACTATTATACAGCGCAGAGTTGTACTATTGCAACTAATTGTTAAGGAAGCTATTGCCGCTAGCAAAAAGCTTATTAATAGCCTTAATTGTAATATCTTAGCGTAGCGTAGCACCTACTTGATGCACTAGCTTAAGGCCGGTCCTTTTAAAGTGCCTTAGGGCGATGAGAGCTGCCAAAACGTCTTGTTTCATGCGCAATCGTCGAGGCTTAAGGTGTAACGATCCTCATGAATCGTTCCATCTCGGATGGCGGGGAAGGCCTCCGTATCGGCCCCGACCCCGACCAGGCCCCGACC